GCATCGGGCTCCCTGCTCAGCAGGAAGCCTGCTTCTCCCTCTCCCACTCCCCCTGCTTGTGTTTCCTCTCTCGCTGTCTCTCTGTCAAGTAAATAAATTTCTTAAAAAAAAGAAAAGAAAAAAAGACAATCTCAGATGACAGAAAATTAAACAGAGTTATTACCTAAAGAACTACTCTAAAAGGAATGCTAATGTCAGAGAGAACTTGGAACTTTAGGACTGAAGGAAGAGAATAAAATGGGGCAAATATCTGGGTAAATAAAAAGAATATTTTTCTCTTTTTATATTTGAAGTGGGTTTCTTGTAGACAGCATACCATTTGGTCTTATATATATATTTTTTTAAAAATCCAACCTGACAATCTAACATATAAATAAAAATATATATGACTATTGATAGCAAGAATTATAATATTATGCAGTAGAGATTTCAGCGTACGTAAATGTAATGCACACCACAACTATAGAGGGAGAGAGTTAAAGGAACCATAAGGTTATAAGTTTTCTGCATTTTATTTGAAGTGGTAAATTATTAATTCTAAGAAGGCTGTGAAATAAGTATTAGGTATATAAATCATAATCCCTAGAAAAACCACTAAAAAGAGAGAGAGAGATAGCCAAATACTCAACGGAAAAATTAAAATGGAACCCTAAATAAATTTTAAAAGGCAGGAAATGGGGACGCCTGGGTGGCTCAGTCGTTGAGCGCTGCCTTCAGCTCAGGCCATGATCCCAGGGTCCTGGGATCAAGCCCCGCATCGGGCTCCCTGCTCGGCGGGGAGTCTGCTTCTCCCTTTGCCTCTGCTCCCCCTGCTTGTGCGCGCACGTGCTCTCTCTTTCCCTCATTCTGACAAATAAATAAAATCTTTAAAAAAAAATACAAATAAAAAGGCAGGAAATGGGAAAATGAAAAACAAAACCAAAGGGAGCAGATAGCAAATAATAAAATAGTACATGTAAATTCAACCAAACCAATAATTACATTAAATTTAAATGATAAAGACACACCAATTAGAAAGGTAGAGATTACCGTATTGGATGTTTTGTTAGACAAAACAAAAACAAAACCTAACTATATGCTGTCCACAAGAAGCCCACTTTAAATATAGAATGGAATAGGGTAGGATAGAATTAAAGGGATGGAGACACATCACTAATCAAAAAAAGCTAGCGTGATTATATTAGTATCAGACAACAACTTTCAAAATATTATCAGAGATAAAGACAGAAATTACATAAGGTTAAAGTAGTCAGTTGCTAAAAAGAGGTAATAATTCTAAATGTATATGCGCCTAAAAACAGATCTCCAAATATATGAAGCAAAACTGATAAGTCTAAAGGAGACATAGACTAATCCGTAATTATACTTGGAGACTTCAATGTTTTTCCTCTCAATCATGGACAGAACAAGTAGAACAGAAATGCAGCAAGGATATAAAAGACTTGAACAACACTACTTACTACCTTCACCTAATTCACATTTATAGAACACTCAGCCCAACTATAGCAGAATAAACATTATTTTTAGTGCACATGGAACATTCACTAAAATTGGACCATATTTTGGGCCATGAAACAAACTTTAACAAATTTTAATGTTCTCTAACCACAATGGAATTAAAGTAAAAATCAGTAATAGAAAAATATCTGGAAAATTCCCAAATACTTGGAAATTAAGCAAAAATTTCTAAATAACACAAGTCAAAGATGAAGTAACAAGGAAAACTAGAAAACATTTTAATAAAATGAATATGAAAACATAACACAGCAAAACCTGTGGGATGCAGCTAATGAGTACTCAGAGGGAAACTGACAGCATTTAAATGCATTTAAAAAATGAATTCTTTCAAATCAATGATCTAACTTTTCACCTTAAGGAAACTAGAAAACAAACCCCTCAAAAAAGCAGAAGGAAGGAAATAATAAGGGACATAAATCAAAGAAACAAAAACAACAGAGAGAATCAATAAAACCAAAAAGTAACCTTTTGAAAAGATTAATGATATTGATAGACCTCTAGCCAATCTGTCCTGGTAAAACAGAGAATATAAGGAATGCAAGCCGTGACACCATTACAGATCCCATAGATACTGAAAGGATAATAAAGGAATATTACAAATAATTTTTGTCCTTAAATTAGACAGCTTAAATAGAATAATTCCTTGAAAGGCACAAACTCCCAAAGCTTCTTCAAGACACATAACCAAAAAAGATACAATTAAGTTACCTTATTATATGTTTAATTTGTAGTAAGATACTACTTTCCAGGGTAATGTTCAAAGCACTTATTAGGTACTGATTGAACTCCTCAAAGAACATTTCGTTCCCTTCTTCATACTTTCCATAATTCTTTGAGTACTCCTTTTGAATGCAGTGATTGGTCAAATGGCAGGTTTTGTCTTGGAAATTATCAACATGATATGGTTCTGAAGCAGTCCGAAGCACACCCTCTTTATAGAGGTAGATATTATACTGATGATCCACCAAGACCCAGCTTCTGCAAGTCAATAAAAACAGTTTCACTCAAGTCATTCAAAGTTTCTCCACAGTACATACATCATCACCACACTTTAACATTTTTGGAGGGAAGTAGAGGAAGGAGATAGGTTCTGAAATTCTACGAGGCAAGCCATGACAATTAGCCAAGGCAGTGGATTACCACTGTAATGAGGCAAATAAAACATTTTACCATACATGACAAGGAGCCTTTGATCTGTTCAAAGGACAGCATTTTGAAGAGATCTGGATGGGTTGGGTCCTAAGGTTTATCCACAAAACCTCCATTTGCCATGTTTGCTCTATTAGTAATCTTAAGAGGAAGGCTGTTTATCCTGAAGCTGATCTGACATAGGATTGGTGTTCAAGAAGCAGCAAGTCATTATGAAGACAAGAAGATGGAATCCTCAGTGAGGAGATGTCAGCAAGGCCACAGGAAAGCTGGGGAGAAGGCTGTTTAGCTTTAGAAGGCATGATACAACCTCTTATTCTATGCCAGGCCCTTTGCTCATGAAAGTTAGAATCCAAAAAGGTATGTGAGGTGTGTTTACGAAATCCTTAAAAACTAGAGGAGAGGACACAAGTAATGAAGCAAGGACATATTATTTGTTGTGTCTGAATTATGTGTTTCATGTTCATCTCTCAGCTGCTTCCATAAGCAAGCCCCATACATTTATACTCTCCTCTTTGGAGGCAAAAGTCATTTTGATTAAAGAGAATATATATAAAAAAGGAAAACCCATAATTTTAGTAACGTTTTCTAGAAAGAAAAGAGAAATACTGAAGGAAAAATAGAAACTTGGGTCAGTTCTCTTCAGTTGTGCTCAATTTTGGCTACGTATTAAACATGGTCAAATACTTCCTCACATTCCATGTTACCCTTATTACCCACCACTGCATTTCTCTCAGATTAGTCACAAAAACTCTGGGCGCCAATGCATTACCGAATGTCAAACTTGCGGTGACCTGGCTCCAGAAGTAGAGGGTGCTCAAGGTATTTCTGGATCACGTGCACCTGACCCTGGTTGTCAATGAAATCCAGAAGCTCTGTAGCCTCCGAGGAGATGAGGATGCCTTCACCTAACAGGGCAAAATTGTAACAGAAATCAGTCCAGTTCATCCCAAGAGGAAAAGGTCTCTAGAAAACCAGAAGAGAAATACTGACAGCAGGAGAAAACTGAGAGGGGCTTCTATTGGACTGCTCACTCTTCTTCCTCCATCCCATCACTTCCCCAATCTCTCACATTCTCCCCTCTGCCCACAACAGCACCAGGGCCATTAACTCTTTCTCCACCTAGGACTGTAAACACTACCTTGACAGGCTCCAAACATGCAATTCATTTTTACAGACATTCAAGATATCCAAGCATCCTAAGTAAATGGCCACTTTACTGTTGGTCACTTGGCTACTTTAATAAACCCAGTTCTCAACACTATAGCTTGTAGAAATATCCAGAAAGTTAGGGCATAAACACAATTGTACAAGTCAATTCCCTACAGCATTGTAATAGGAAAAATCTGATAAATGTAGTGTCCATCAACTTTAAATAAATGATGCAATATCCTTCTCAACAGCTTTATTGAGATATATGTTACATAAGATTTCCCCTTTTAAGGTATTCAATTCAATGATTTTTCATATATCCAAGAAATTTGCAACCACCACTGACAATTTTAGAACATTTTCATTACCTCCCTGCATAAACCCATATCCATTAGCGGTACACTCCTCATTCCTTCCTTACCCTATTCTGACAACTACTAATTTACTTTCTGTCTCTGGATTTGCTTAGTCTAGATGATTCATATAAATGGAATCATACAGTATGTGGCCTTTGTGTCTGGCTTCTTCATTTAGCATAATGTTCTCAAGGTTCATCCATGTTGTAGCATGTACCACTACTTCATTCTTCTTTTCCATGACTAGATAATATTCCATTGTGTGGATATACCATTTTTGTTCATCCATTCATCAACTGATGGACATTTGAGTTTTTTCCACTGTTGCTTGACTATTATGAATAATGCCGCTATGAAGATCTGCACATAAGTTTTTGTGTGGACATGTTTTTAATTCTTTCATGAATATACCTAGGAGTGGAATAGTTGGGTCATATGGTAACTCTATGTTTAACTTTTGGAGAAACTGCCAAACTAATTTCCAAAATGTCCAGGCCATTTTACATCCTCAACAGCAATATATGAGTGTTCCAATTTTGTCACATTCTTGCCAACACTTACCGTCTTCTTGATGATAGCCATTCTAGTGGGTGTGAAGTGGTCATCTCATTGTGGTTTTGATTTGCATTTCCTTAATGACTAACAATGTTGAGCATGTTTTCATGTGCTTATTAGCTATTTGTATATCTTCTCTGGAGAAATGTTTACTTAGGTTCTTTGTTCTTTTCTTAATTAGGCTGTCCTTTTATTATTGAGTTATCCAAGTTCTTTACACATTCTGGATACAGGTGTCTTACAAGATCTATGATTTGCAAATATATTCTCCCGTTTTGAACAGTTCCATTATCATGGATCCCTCAGTGTTGCTCTTTTAAAGCCACAACTACCTCCCTTCCCATAACACCCTCCTGACAACTACTAATCTATTCTCCATTTCCATAATTTTGTCATTTCAGGAATTTTATATAGATAGAATTATGCAGTATGTGATCTTTGGGGATTGGTTTCTTTCACTCAGCATGACTCTCTGGAGATTCACCCAAGTTGTTGCATGTATCAATAGTTCATTCCCTTTTATTGCTGAGGAGGATTCCAAGGTATCAATTCATCACAGCTGGCTTAATCATTCGGCTTTTGAAGGAATTTGAGCTGTTTCCAGTTTGGGGCTATTACAAATAAAGCTGCTATGAACAATCATGTGCAGGTTTTTGCATGGACATAAGTTTTCATTTTCCTGGGACAAATGCCCAAGTGTGTGCAATTGCTAGGTTATATGGTAGTTACAGGTTTAATGTTACAAGAAATTACCACACTTTTTCCCAGAGTCACTGTACCATTTTACATTCCCACCAACACTGTGTGATTGATCTAGTTTCTCCTGACCCTTGCAGCATTTGCTGTCATTACCATTTCTTATTTTAGCCATTTTAACAGGAGTGTTGTGGTTTTCATTTCCATTTCTCTAATGGTTAATGATATTGAAAATCTTTTCATTAGTTTATTTTTTATCTATAGAGCCTTTTTCTTTTTTTTTTTTAAGATTATATTTATTTGAGAGTGAGCAAGAGAGCACAAGCAGGGGCAGAAGGAGAGGGAAAAGAAGACTCCCCACTGAGCAGGGACCCTGGGATCATGACTTGAGCTGAAGGCAGATGCTTAACTGACTGAGCCACCCAGGCATCCCAAAAAGTCTGTCCTTCTATTAAACTGCTTTTGCACCTTTGTCAAAAATCAGGTGGGTATATACGTGGGGTCTATTTCTGAGTTCTCCCTTCCACAGATTTATGTTTCTGTCCCCCGACCGATACTGCAGTGGAGTGATTATTGTACTAATGTAGTATGCTTTAATACCAGGTACAGTGATTACTCCCACTTGATTCTTCTTTTTCAAAATTGTATAAGCTATTCTAGGGTTTGTGCCTTTCGATATGAATTTTAGAAGAAGTGTTATGTCTGCACAAAATCCTGGTTGAGGTCTTGACAGCAATTGCATTAAGCCTCAAGAACTCAAATTAGAGGTGAACTGACATCTTTACAATGTTGAGTCTTACAATCCATGAACATGGTATGTCTGTGCATTTACTCAGATCCTTTCTGAACTTCAGCTGTTTTGTAATTTTCAGCATTAAGATCCTCTACGTGTTTTGCTAAGTTTATACCTAAGCATCTCATTTTCTTTGGGGTAACTATTAAAAAGTATTGTTCTTAATTTGTTTCAATATATTCCCTGTTAATATACAGAAATGCAACTGATTTTTGTGTGATCTGATATTCTGCAACCCTGCTGAACTCAGTTTTTTAGTTCTAGGACCTCTGACCTACACTTTGATTTATAGCTCATCTCTACTTGGGTCTCATGCTTTCGGTACAAATTAATTTAATTTTGTTAATTAATTTAATAATTCAACTTTCCTAAAAGCCAACCCCTTTTACAACTATCTCATTTTTGTCACTTGGTCCATCATGTGATTAGCTCTTAAACAAGAAACTGCGAATCAACTTGGAAAAGCTCCTTCCTCTCTTTTTGTAGGAACAGGATTCTTTCTGTTTCATCTCCCTCAGGAACTACACTGAGATATCCTGGTTCCTCTTTATTTCCATTTGCCAATTTTTTTATACAGACCTCAGCCTCTCTTCCATTTCACTTCTTCTAAAATAGTTATCCTAAGGGGCGCCTGGGTGGCTCAGTCGGTTAAGTATCTGCCTTCAGCTCAGGTCATGATCGAGCCCCACATCAGGCTTCCTGCTTTTCCCTCTCCCTCAGCCTGCCACTCCCTCTGCTTGTACCTCTCTCTGTCAAATGAAGAAATAAAATCTTAAAAAAAATAAATGAAATGGTTATCCTAAAACGTCCCTTCCTACTAATGCCCTGGAACTGTACCACCTTTGATGTCTTGCTCTCCATAATATACTCACATTCCCTCCTATTTGCTCCAACTTTGTTTCCCTTAATGCTATTTCCTTATGTAAACTATTTCTTATTCAAAATATACCTAATGCTGATAGATGGGAAAAATAATGGAAGAAGGTAGAAAGATACATTTTGATAACTTTAAAGAACTATTATTATTGAAAATAAAAACATGGCATTCAAGTAAAATAGAAAAGTTATCTTTAGTCTTACTTCCTAATATAATTATTTTTATCTTTTAATATCACCTTCTTTTCCATAAGGGCAAAGACTGGCTCAGTCATAGTGAACTCACCTTATGTTGTCAATTTTTTTCACCTTATATTGTCAATATTTTCACTGTTTCTACATTAACATTACAATATGTTAGCAGCTGAAGAAAATTACACATTTGTTTACTGATTGCTGTACAGTGGGGTTGTTTCTAAATAAAATGTTGCTGTTACAGGTCACATAGTAGTAAATGTCTTTGCTATAGATCACTCTTGTTTCTTTTAAAGTATTTCCCTGGAGTTAAGTTTTCAGGAATGAGATTAGTGAGCCAAAGCCTATGCACTCTCTATGGCTCTTCTTTTGTATTATCCTATTGCTTTTTCAAAAGGCAGTGTATCACAACTAAGAGGAAGCAGTTCATAACAAACTTTCAGCAACAGTATCACTGAAGGTCTCTCTTATTTTGTAGGTATAAAATGGTGCATAAAATCTACCTATATTTTGTAAGTTTTGCATACCAGTGTAGCATGTTTCCATGTGTTCGTTAACTGTATTTCTAATATTATTTCTTTATATCCTCATTAACTAAACCTGGAGAAATTATGAAGAAACTCTGCAATTCTTTAAGGAGCTTCAAGGTGATAGTCTTTTTTTGTTATTTGTTCTCATCTCAACTATTTATCTGGAAATAGATGCATCACTAGCCTTCTTTCTGACTAGATTGGGTCCATAAGGGCAAGAGATTATATCTATTTTATTTATCCCTGGATCTCCAAACACTCATTATTTCATTCATTCGTTCATTCATCACTCAATACATATATTGAACTTTTGCTGGGTTCCATGTGCTGCCCCAGCACCAGGGAGACAGCACTGAACAGATGTGAAAGGGTCTGACTGTGCTTTAATAGGATCTCTGACTGCTGTACTGTGTGTAGACTCTGGAGAATGGCCAAGGGCAGGAGGACAAGGAGCAGTGCTCCAGGTGAGAGGTGAAAGTGGCTCGGGTCCAAGATCGGTGGTAGAGGCGGTGAACAGGGGGTCTTTATACTGGATATAGTGTGAAAGTTGAGCCAACTATTCCCATAATGGGTACACATTAAATACTTCTTTAACAAGAATAAAAGCTATTCATTCATCCTATTGGTTTCATTTTGTAGTTCCCAAACAAAACAAATGCATACCACTTATCTCAACTTCCTAAAGCAAAATTTCTTCTTTGTTTGGCATTTTATTCTCTTTACCTCTTCCTGATGCTGACCATCAATCTATTGACTTGTCTTGGTGAGGGTTCAGACACCACCCAGGTGGGATCGCTGCCATGACCTGACATGCGCCTCACCAAGAACCTTGCCTCACTCCTGATTCTCACTCCAGCTAAGGCTCCATTATACAGGATGTCCTTACAATGGCCATCCTGACTCGAGCCCGAATCCACGGAAGGAATATGGAATACTGCAGATGTCTATTTCCTCTTCCAATTCCCCCATTTATCATTAGAACCAAACTAGGGGACAGTACTTGAGAAGAGGTCATAAGAGGGGAGAGAGAAGTAGGTGAGGTACCTGGCTTGTGGCAAGAGTCCAACTCTCCCCCTTTCAGGAAATTCCAGATGATGCCCTCCTGTCTCATGGTTGGTGGAAAAGAAGGTGAGGTCCACTGGACCAGGGATAGAAATGAGGACCAATGGCCAGATGGTCTTCCAAGGCAATAAAAGAAGAAGTAAGTTCAAAATAGAATGGTTTTAAAAGGAGCATATGATGGTAGCTATAGAGATAGACCGTGTTTATGTGTTCATTACACTGGGAACTGCCTGTATTTTGAGCTTGAGTCAATATTATAAACCTCATTCCTTCTATGCATTCATTCAACACACATTTACCGAGTGCCTCTGGGGAGGGTAGAGATGAACAAGACAGAAAGTCTGTGTTTACATGGAGCTTATGGTATGAGAGAGGAGACAGGCAGATAAACAGATATGTAATAGAAGTGCTAGAAACAGGTTAGTGCAAGGAGGAAAAATAAAGCAGGAAAAAGGACAGAGAGCAATGGACATAAAGGCTATTTTAGAAAAGGCTTCTCTGACAAGGCAACATCTGAGCTGAAAGAAATAGAAAATAATCCATAAGGACATTTGAGATACACAGACAACTTTAGGGTATTTGTAGGACTCTAGGCAGGCGTGGCTACAGAACAGTGAGCAAGGCCAAGAATAGAAGATGGTACCAGAGATAGAAGCAAATGTTAAATAGTGTAGGCTCCATCAGCAATCTGAAGTTTATCTGAACTGCATTGGGAGGCCAGCTGGTAAGTCTTGAGCAGGGAGTAACATGACCAGATTTACGTTTTTAGACATCACTCTGTCTTAGAGGAAAACTGGCCGTGAGCAGGCATAGCAATTATACAGACTAGAAAGTAGTTTTGACTTCAAGTGATAGCAGTGGAAATGGCAAGAAAAAGTCTAATTCAGAATATATTTTGAAGCTAGAGCAGGCAAGACTTGCTGATGCATTAGGTATGGATTGTAAAGAAAAGAGCAGTCAAGGATGAAGCCTAGGTTTTGGGCTTCAGAGACTGGGTGCAGAGTGGGATCACATACTATATGGGAAGACTGAAAGAGGGGTAGGCTGGGGTGGGTTAAATTGGGCAGGAAATGAAGAGTTCTATATCAGACATGTTACATTTGAAAGGCCCACCACACTCGATCTGGAGCTTAAAGGGAAACACTTTGGCTGGAGATATACATGTAGAAGTCATCAGTACCTAGATAAATGTTTAAAACTATGTAACTAGACATGGTCTCTACCCTTGAGGATTCAGATTCACTCATCTGAAGATATCATTGAATTCTAATGCACAATTGAACAAAATACATGAGAACCTACAGGAAAGGAAGGAGGGGACAATAATGCCAACTCACCTTTGGCACCAGCTGATGACTTTGCAATCCAAACATTGCCCTCTCCATCTTCTTTCTTTCTGTTATAAGAAGCCAGGAAAAATTCCCTTTCATCTGTCCTTGAATTATGGATTGGTGGGTGAATTCCATTCTGTGCTGGAGCAACTGGGGTCTTGAGATTAGTTGGATAAATCACATAGGACTCTGGAAACCATGTGCAGGATTCAGCCAGGTCTGGGCTTGTCTTGATTAGCCTGACAGACGACAGAAGGTCAGTTTCCCTTCTTAGTACACCTTGCCACTCACTCTATTCAGAAAAGCCACTGCTTTCCCCCAGAGCTCGTCAAAGAGGCAGGACAATACTGGGGCTGGGAGCTGGTCTTTTCATTTCTTTTTTCTTTTTAAGATTTTATTTATTTAGGAGCCAGTCTTTTTATCCTACTCTTTGTTCTTGTCCTCCTTGAGCTGACCTGTAATGCACTACTGGGCAGTACTTAGCTATTACATGCAACCCTAAAGGCATGCTCCAAGTAGTTAAAAAGGAGCTCAATATCCAGGACTTTAGCGCCTTTTAAAATGCATCTCTAAGGAAAACTGAAGTAATTCTGAGACAATACTTTTTCCACATACATGTTGTGGTTGAGCAAGACACATGCTAAAAAAACAAAGCAGAGAACTTAGAAAACTATTTGGCTTACTAGAAAAAATACTATCCTGGCCCAACTCTCTGGAGAGCAAAGGCTACTCCTTAGGAATCTGAATTATCTGAAGACTTATTTTAGTTCTTCTTTCTTGCTTTTAGCTCAGCCTGGCTTCAATGACATGTAAAGGAGGAAACTTTCTAATGGGGCGCACGACTACAGTGGTCATAACTAAACGTACCTCCGGCCCCCAAAATAATATAACACAGCAGAAGATAAAGTCAGGCCATGGGCAAGGCACTTAATAAACACAAGGGCTTATGAAGGGCTTCCCATTGCATTTACTCTCCAGTCAGACCCTCAGTGGGGGCGGCACTTGCATCTCATTTCACAGATTAGCCAATGGGTCACAAAGAAGTAAATTTCCCAAGATCATAAAGGTAGTTAAGAAACAGCCATTAGCAAGCCCCAAACTCCCAGTCCTTACTCGAAACTTCCTCCCCAGGAATCGAAGGCAGGAGGGAACTCACCCAAAGACATCTGCAGGCCTTCCTTAAGCTGTGCTCCCTCCTCTGTCTAGAACTATTAATGTTAAGCCTGTATTAAGATCCACTTGCAAAAACCAATCTATGAGCAAATTGCAGAAATAATGAAAAGAAATGAATAATGAAAATAATGACAATAATAATGAAAAGAAAAAATTTTTAAGATTTTATTTATTTATTTGACAGAGAGAGAGTAAGAGAGAGAGCATAAGCAGGGGGAGTGGAAGGCAGAAGGAGAAGCAGGCTTCTTGCTGAGCAAGGAGCCTGATGCGGAACTTGATCCCAGGACCCCGGGATCATGACCCTAGCCGAAGGCAGATGCTTAACCAACTGAGCCACGCAGGGGTCCCAAAAAGAAATTTTTAACTGAGATTTAAAATAAAGTTATTTTTTGGTTGAAAGACCTAAATGTGAGACAGGAGTCCATCAAAATCCTAAAGGAGAACATAGGCAGCAACCTCTTCAACCTCAGCCACAGCAACTTCTTCCTAGAAACATCGCCAAAGGGAAGGGAAGCAAGGGCAAAAATGAACTACTGGGACTTCATCAAGATAAAAAGCTTTTGCACAGCAAAAGAAACAGTCAACAAAACCAAAAGACAACCGACAAAATGGGAGAAGATATTTGCAAATG